GCCTTCTCTTCTCCAGGCTGAACAGCCCCAACTCTCTCAGCCTGTCCTCACAGCAGAGCTGCTCCAGCCCTCGCATCATCCTCGTGGCCTCCTCTGCACTGGCTCCAGTAGCTCCATGTCCTTGTGCTGTTGGTGGCCCCAGCACTGGAGGCAGCACTGCAGGTGGGGTCTCAGGAGAGCGGAGCAGAGGGGCAGAATCCCCTCCCTCCACCTGCTGCCCACGCTGCTCTGGGTGCAGCCCAGGACACGGTTATTGGCTCTGTGCTGCCAGCGCACGGTGCCAGTTTCCCACCCCCCTGGCACTTGTCCACGTGCAGTAAACGTCTGGACTTTCCTTTCTCTTTCAGGCTAAGAGTTATATCAAGTCCCTTCCTAAAATGCCCAAGAAGGATTTGTCTGTGCTCTTCCCCAAGGCCAATCCTCAGGGTAAGTCACTTCCAGTGTTTCTCAGGAGTTCTCACAGGAGGGCAGGAGACAGACTGACACCACAGCTGCCGTTTGCTTCCTCCCAGGGCAAATATGTACAAATTAAAAGCAAGATTATTCTTTATTGGCATTACAGGGTGATACTCTGACGTTCTTGGCTGCTTACTTCTTTTTTTATTATTATTTTTAAAATGATCCAACCTGTAACACAATATTTAAGGAAGAGATAAACTTTGGACTCTCGTATCAACAAGGCAGAGGAGAGCGAGCGCTGGATCTAACGGGATATCTAGGAGGCTGTGGGATGTAAATTACAGGCTCAGGCCAGTTGCACAGATCAGCTCGACTTGGTATGAGGGTTGGGATGTATTTTGGCTGGTATTGGCTTCTCGAGGCTGTTGCTTGGAGCCAAACAAATGATATTATGATCAACAGTGTTTAGATAAACACACCAGCTCTTATTTATTCATTATTATTTCTCAGCTCCATATCTGAGGCATCAGAGGTTTTGATAAAGTGCTGAGAGAGCCCCACAGTCCACTCCAGTAATTTTTTATTCAATTTTTTTTAATTACAAATTGTTTGTTAGTAAAATCTGATAGTTAGTAAAATTCTCTTTTACTAACTGTTATTTTTTTGAACACCTGGATCTCTCGCTCCTTAACAGGCAGCTGAGATGTGCAATTTTCAGGGTGAAAATGGATCTCTCACAAGGAGCTCTTCTCCCAGGTAGAGGAGAGGTGGGAGCCAGCAAAACTCTTCCAAAAGCTGAGGAAGAAAGTGTTTAGATGTTAAAACCAAAGGGCAACGGGGCTGAGAGGCTTGTTGGTATCTGAGTTTCCTGCCTTCCTGTTTGCCAGGGGTGTAGAGATTTCCGTATAGATTACTCACATTAAGACTCTTGTGAGTTGCCGGGGTCCGAGCGAAAGCAAATGATTCAAACTGAAAAATATCTTGGAGTTACTGGCTGGCTGGTTGTGTTCTCGCAGCCCCATCTGTGCAGCAAAGGCTTCTTGGAGGCTCCTTTGTTATTTCTGCACAATTTCCACCTCCTGTCCTGTTAGTCAGAGCTCCCCGAGGCTGCTGCTGGGCTGATTTTGCATCCTCACTGGTGGGAGCTCCACGCTGCCTTGGCCAAGCTCATAGAATCCCAGACTGGTTTGGGTTGGAAGGGACCTTAAAGCTCATCCAGTCCCAACCCCCCTGCCAGAAGCAGGGACACCTTCCACTAGAACAGGTTGCTCAAAGCCTCATCCAGCCTGGCCGAAAACGCTTGCAGGGAGGGGGAAT